CCTTGATCAAGGACAAGGAGAAGCTATCTGAAGAACTCGATAAACTCGTTACTATGCCGTTCAGGCTGAAGAGTTTAGAAGATTACATTGTTTGTTTAAAGTTGAAGTCGAAGAAAAGATCTGACGAAATGCAAAATTGCATACAACTGCACACTGGGTTAGTCGAGGTGTTAAGTGTCAAAGGTTCGGATGAGCTTAACAAAGATGAGGTAAATATGATTCTTTCGGAAGTGAAGAGCCTTAAGATAAAGGCAGACTCTCTCCAAGAGGAACTTTCCAAGAAAACATTGGTGACGGAGAATCTGCTGAAGAAACTGGAGTATCTCTCGACAGAAGCTGCGGAGAGCGAAAGGAAGTTTAGCAGCATTGAAGAAGAGAAACAAAGATTGACAACTAGGTTGCAGGTTTTCGAAGAGAATGTTGGTAGACTACAAGAGCTGCTAAGGCAGAAAGCTGACGAACTCAAGGAAGGAAAGATGTCTCTTGAGGTTTTGCAGGGTAAACTCGACTCGACAAAGATGGAAATGTTGGTGTGTAAGAAACAGATTGTAGATCATGAGAAAGAAAATTTAGTGGTTATGGGGAACGCAAAGGCTTTGGAGGAAGAACATAGAAGCTACTTGGCTGAATTAGAAGCTTTACGTCTCCAGAGTGAGGAGAAATCATCGGAATTAGCTATGGAGAGAAAGAGAAGAAAAGATGCCCACAGTGCTTACAAAAAGCTCAAGTCCCAATATAATTATCTCTGCAAAAGGTTTGGTCTTACTGCAGATAGTGTTCCTCACCAGAGCCACCTTGAAGATGACACTAACCAATCTGGACAACATGAGAGACCAGCCATCTCGAGTTGTAAGTATTAGCAGTCTCTGGCTCAACTTCTTTTAACTATAGGTCTTGCTTCAGCTGCAGGTTCTTGTTGGCATTAGTAAACTCAACCAGCTTGATTTTTTCTCTTTTCTATTGCAGCTGTTGAAAAGAAACACACAGAAACTGTGAGAAATGGTACTGGCTCGAGTGGCAGCTGCGAGAAAGAGAGTATAATCAAAACGGTGCAGACACCTACAACTTCCATTTCACCCATTTTGCGGTCGCCTGGTGTTAGAAGTGATCCCTCCAGTGCAAAATCTCCGCAGCTAAGTGGATTGAAGCGTCCAGCTTCCATTTGGAGAGACACAAGGTCTCGCCAATCACCTGGTGGTCGTGATCCTCACGATGATTTCCTAGATACTCCGGTCGAGAACATGAAAAGAGTCGCTGGGGAAGAAAAACAAGTCCATGATGCTTCTAAGAAAGATGATTCAGACGAGGAGACACAGGACTTGAATCCTAAGCCGAGTCCATCAAGGCAGCGGATTCAAGTAGCAGAAACGAGTAAAAAAAGTTTCAAGCATGTGGAACCTGTGAGAAAAAAAGCAGAGAGGGAGAATTTGAAAGGGATAGAGTGTAAGCAATGCAAGAAATTCTACGATGCGGTTCTTCCTGAGAATGAAGGAAACGGTAGAAGCTTGAGATGTGAGCATCATGAAGGTGTGTCGAGGCATCGTTACAAATACGCTCCTCCAATGACTCCTGAAGGATTTTGGAACATCGGATTTGAATCCGAAATGTGATTCTGTTTTTGACATTCTTTGCACCTAATCCTTGCTCTTCTGATAGACAGACGATATAATAAAACTTATTTTTTGCAATTCTGCTCTCTCGATCAATGATCTAAAGCTTCGCAATCTTCAAAGTTTAATCAGCACAACCATATATACTATGATTCAATTGGTAACATAAAAGTGGTAAAAATATATAAGAGATGGCCGTACACATAGATTGGTGGGTACGTGGAGAAGATAAATTTGTTTGATTGATAGAAGTTCTTTTGAGATCTTAAAGTATCAATCAATTGTTATATATTTTTTTTTTATAAATCAATTAACAAACTCTCACCATTTAATTTTCAGTTTCAACAGAAAACAAATTCCAATAAAAAATGAAAAAGGTAACTTTGAAACGTTTGGGCCGTTACTGTAAGTAAAAGAAACCTTAGGTCTCCAACTGAAAAAACAAACAAATAAGGGCCTTCTTTTCGTATATACACGCCAAACAGTCGACGACCTTCTGATTCCGATTTAATCCCTCCGAATTCCGATCGCTGGCCTCGCATTTCCGTTTTGACTTTTGACCGACCTTTTCCCGACGACGTTTGACCGGAAATCGGCGCAGGTGACAAGATCGCTACTTCGTTTGTGCGAATTATTCGTTTGATTGTCTGAATCAATTGTACGTGGATCTTAATCTTGTTCATTTCGTTTGTTTCCGAGTCGATTGATTGTTGTAACCTAGGGTTTTTCTGGGTTTATCTCTTCGTGTGTATGACTGTTTATTCCGGATCAGGATTGAAGCTTTTTTATAGCTTGGAGGGAGGAGAGGATTCAGTCAAAGTTGAGCTGGTTACGGAAGATTGGAGACTTGGTCACTTCTGTTTTACGACAAAGTTATGTTGAAAGTACGTTTATCTCAAGGTACGTTTGATCAGTTTCTCAAAAAAGTATAATGTTGATACTTTTGTTGTTGATGATGCTAAATTTATCTGTTCTGGGTATTTGGAGGATTTGTTGAAATGTAGGATTCATGTCGATTTGAAATTTTCTTCTAGCTAAGACTGTAATCTTGTAATGAAAAACTGATGCTCTAATGTCTATGTTGCAGATCCAGCATCACTCCAAGAACTGTATTGATCATCCTTGCTTAAGGAGAAAAGAGTCGTCTTTCCCAAGCAACTTGCTTCTGGTTTGCTTCTGGTAACAGGTGAGTTCTTACTCTTCTGATTGTTTTTGTGTGTACATGCAAATCGTCTGTGTTGTTTTTTTGCGTGTAAATGAGTTCTGTTGTCATCTGTTAACATTACTTATGTAGATTTCTTTATAATCGGATTCAGCACCTAATGCATGAAGTTGTTCTTATCAAACTCACTATTTCGATATACTGGAACAGTTTTATATAATGTTTTATAAGAGACTCTGTCTTTGCAGACGAAGAAGAAGAAATGTACGGCAAAACCATATGCACCATTGTCTTCTTCGTCTTCCTCATTGCTTCCTACTCAATCTACATGGGTACCGTCGATCCAAGACCTTACTTCTCTCAGCTTCAGTCTCAGCCCGGTAAAGTTTCTCCTTGTAGCTCTACCGGAAGGCCTCTCCGTGTCTACATGTACGATCTTCCGCGAAAGTTTAATGTAGCGATGATGGATCCTCACAGCTCAGACGTTGAGCCTCTCACCGGAAAGAATCTTCCTTCGTGGCCACAGACTTCCGGGATCAAGCGACAACATAGCGTTGAGTATTGGCTCATGGCTTCGCTTCTTCACAACGGCGAGGAAGAGAAAGAGGCGTTTAGGGTTTTTGATCCGGAACTGGCGGATGCTTTCTATGTGCCTTTCTTTTCTTCCCTGAGTTTCAATACGCATGGGAAGAATATGACGGATCCAGAGACAGAATTCGATCGGCAATTACAGGTACATTCGATCGGAGATTTTGGATTTTGAATATTTTGTGGAGATTTATGGATGTTCTGATTTAGTTAGGGGGTGATTGGAGAGGTCAATTTCGTTGACAATTTGTAAATCTTTACTCTTGATGAATCGCCCTTGACCATTGCAGTGTCTTGGAATCAAATTGAGAATAATTGTCCTAGTAGTTATTAATAGTTCTTAGTCCTGAATGTAGAGAGATTAGTGCAATGGTCAAGAACATGTTGGAGGGCTAAGAACATTGGATCCCTCTAGTCAGTGCTTTAATGACTGTTTCTAAATTTTGTGGCTGAAGCTATGTTTCGTGTTGTAATATCTCATTGGCACAAACAGGGTTAGTGAAGATGAACTACCGGAGCTTAAGCACTTTGTTTCCTCACTAGCAAGTGTTTTGTAAACCCTTTGTTTAGAAGCTTAAACACTCTGTTTAGACCATTGCAAAGGATTTAAAAAGTTTTATGGTTCGGTGCAATTATTAACAGGCTTTTATTGCTGTGTCAGGTTGAGTTAATGGAATACCTTGAGAATTCCAAGTATTGGCAGCGTTCAGGAGGCAGAGACCATGTAATTCCGATGACACATCCTAATGCTTTCAGATTTCTCAGGCAACAACTGAACGCGTCAATCCTCATTGTTGTGGATTTTGGGCGTTACCCCAAAGACATGGCACGTCTCAGTAAAGACGTGGTTTCCCCATATGTACATGTTGTTGAGTCTTTAACA